GGTTCTTTTCTATTCATCTGTTGAATTTACTTTAAACTAGGTCACTGCCTTTTTTTTTTTTTGGCGTTAGATAGCATCTTAAACCCAGGTTTGCCTCAACTGTTGTAAATGTTCAGAGCTCTGCCCATCTCGGATGGAAGAGATCCTGAAGAGGGTAACCCAGGCTTTGTGGGGAGGCTAACTAGGGGTTTGTGCCCAGGGACCCATAGTATGTGTCTCTTATAGCATGATGCTGCAAAACAGCCACTCTGACTTGGCATCAGAGTTGGCTGAGATAAAGATCAGAGGTTCATGCACTGTGGTTACAAGTCCTGCATCTCCTTTTGTAACTGGCTGCCCTCAGGTGTTTTTCCTCCTACATATACTACATGCACTCATGATATCACACTATATACACTCATGATGTTTCTTATGGGTTGAGAAAGGGATATTTATTTGGCAAGGGAACCTGAAATGGTGAGAAAGCTGGCCATTCACCTGTATCTCACCATGACCAGTGTAGAAACCATGAGTCTGAGGAAAACTTTCTGTACCTGTGTTACCTAGCTTATTGGGAGAGTGATATCACAGATACAGGAGCCCAATTCTCTTATACTCTGCTCAGAGTTTCACTTCTCTGTGGCCCCAGGTATTGTCTCATCCTCATATTTGAGTCCTGGTACATTTCTGATGATTATATTGGTGCTAGATGTTTGTTGGGGAGAATGAAGCCAGATTGCTTCTACTCCACCATTCTGGTAAGATCATTCCTCTTTACATGATTCTTGATAAAGGCAATTTGAAGACATGCATCAAAGTTAAGACATAAGGAACTTGATAAGATATCAAGGGTGAAAAGATACCATGTTCTCACTGAATCCTGACTTAACAAGATTTTTGCTGAAACTGGGCTTAGCAAGGACAGAGAAGTCCAAGATTGAGAGCCAGTTGATCGGAGAGCTCAGAGAATGTCTGGTCAAGAAGAAACACTTTGTTGGCAGACACACACACACACACACACACACACACACACGCACACACGCACACACACGCACACACACACATCCTCACTGTTTATCACAGTTGTTTGTTTAGTAATGAATAAGTTAATTTTCAATATTCCCAATAAAATGAATTGTAAAATCCATGAGAGTGAATTCTAGAACTTTGAGAGGAAATATTGTAGATATAAAGATAGTTTCCTTCTACAGAAGTTGCTAAATTGTAGGGATTGTGATTCAGAAATTTTAGCAGGTGTTTAACCCTTCCTTGGAGAAGGAACCTTCCTGCTACTGAAGCTAATAAAGAGGAAAGACAAAGAATGAAGAAACCTTAACTATATTTAGAGAATTTTTTGACCGTCTGCATCCAACTATCCATACATTGAAGTCCATACATAGTTTTTTTAATAATAACAATCATAATATTCCCTTTTTTACTTAAGGTGGTTTTACTTAGGTTAACTTACTGCAACTAAAAGATCCCTGCAATGTTCAGGCATAGTGAAACCAGTGACCAAAAAGACCAAATAATCACAGTGGTTTTCTTTTATAATAACGCAGTTAAACCTGTACTATAGCCCACATTATGGAGGATTTATTTTCTATTTGGACCCCATGAAACATATCACCTCCCAGATTTTTTACCATTTGCTATTCTATTATGTGTTTCTTCATAGTAATTTTTTTTTGAAAAATCATTCTTTCAATTGTTTTGGTAGCTTGATATTCATAAATTATTCTAACACTGAAAATTAAATCCATTTTTACAGAAAACATATCCAACAGAAAATTAGGTTTCAAATTTCATCACAAAGTTGTACATATCCAATGTTTTTAAATAAACCTAAATGAAATTATTAAGATTGAAAACTATTTCTATGTAAAACTTTTACTACTTTAATGAAGTAAGTAGAAACATCTTATCTTCTTTATACTGTAAAGATAACAACATCAACAACAAAATAACACCTACGGTGATAGGCAGAAGATCTATACAATAATAAAAAAATAATAAATAAGAAGAGGTGGGGTAGTTAATGGAAAAGGTACTATTCCAATTTATGAAAGAATTCTTTTTTTTTTTTTTTTTTATGAAAGAATTCTTAGTGCATGTACCAAGTAGCTCAGAAACCAAGTCTTGGATGTTAATCACCATAGCCAGCATGTTTTTCTCTTTCTCAAAATTGTTTTACTGAGTGGGATAATCATTCTGAGTGGGATAATACAGTACCCATAGACTCTTGTTGATTTCTCAGGGCCAGCTCTTTTGTAGGCACATGATATTAAATTCTTAGAAGGATATTAGAGGGTAAGCCTAATACTTGATTCTCCTTTGTATCTTATCCTGGGAAACATATTTAGTCATTGGGAAGTGTGCTGTTCAATATACTAAAGGTAAGAAACTGTGACAACCCATTTGGGGGGGTGCAGTTTGGAGTAATATGATTCCAGTTGGTGAACTTCTGATGCAATTTTGGTTGAAGATGAGGTACACTAGAGTTAGGGTGTCCGCATAATTTTGAGCCTGAAATGGGAGGAAAAATCAGGCGAACTGGCAAGGTTCTAGGCGGAGCAGATGAGTTCTTCACAGTGGAAAAAAATATTTTAGATTTGTGATTCATGAGTGCAGTTAACAAGGTAACTGATAAAGAAAGTCTGAAACAGAGCATGGTGATAATTAGTTAGATGAGAACCAGTAAAAAGTAGGTGAAATTTCACATTATTGGACATAATCAAAGGAAATATCTGAATGCAGGCTGTAAAGAGGGAAGATGTGGTTTGTGATATGGTCAGATCAAGCTTCTTGGATGGGAAAATAGTTAAGTGTTAAATAAGAGATCAGAGTAAATGGTAAAATGTTGCCAAATGATATTCAATGTCATAGCGTCACATGGGCCTGTGATAGTGTTGGTTTTTCCATGGTGTAGTGGGTTGACTGGTAGCCCCCAAAAATATGTGTCCATGTCTCAGAACCTGTGAATTTCATCTTATTTGGAAAAGGATTCTTTATAGATGCAAAGACTCTCAAGATGAGATTATCCTGGAGTACCCAGGTGGGTCTTAGATCAAGTGACAAGTGTCATTACAAAAGAGACAAGAGAAGAGAGGCACAGAGAAGAGGTGAAGGTATTGTGAAGATACAGGCAGAGACTGGAGTGATGTAGCCACAAGCCATGGAATGCCTGGAGCCACGAGAAGTTAGACAAGACAAGAAAAAGTCTTCCTTAGAGCCTTTGGAGGAAATGAGACCAGAAGGACACCTTGATTTCAGACTTCTGGCTTTCCAGAACTGTCAGAGAATAAATTTCTATTGTAGGAAGCCATCCAGTCTGTGGTACTTTGTGGCAGCAGTCCTAGAATACTAACACTGTATCTGTGGGACATGAATGAACCAACTCAAATGTTCTGCAATTTGCACTGCCTAGAGATAGTGGAGGCCTTTTGGTAAGGGACCTCTGAAATCCTAGGCCCTCCTTGATTGTTAAAGGATATCTGCCTCTCTGTTTTGATGCAATTTAACAAGATTATCATTCAGTAGAATATAAGATAGTATAATAAATTGTATTTTCAAGCAAAGCTGGGAGGGAGGAATCCTAGTTTCTTAGTAAAATGATTATACCTCTGGATAAGAACTTTATAGATAGTTTAAGAAATAGATTTTATTTGCTAAAATTTAAATCTGTGTAGAGATTACATTTTTTCCATTTGTTGTACATGTTTCCAGGGAGTTTTACAAATGTTCATGACCAAAAAATTTAAGAGAAACTTGAAGAAATTGAATGAGCACTGAAATTTGATGACAGTTGCATTGGAATTTGTTCCTCAAGTCATCTCAAGGGGCAATGACCTCAAGTAAACAAGCACCCTTAGTGTCATATAAGGCAAAAAAAAAAAAAAAAGGCTGATTGAAAAGGGAAAATGTGACATTTTAAAATGTCAGTAAGTACAACACATATATACTAATGTTTGTAAAAATATATATTAAAGTCATCAAATGTAGTCATCTACTCAGCTTAGGGAGGGGACATCCTCCATAGAGATCCATCTATTATGCATTTTTAAATTGATTTTACCTTTATGATAGTCATGTGTGTGAATCAAGGAAAATTCCAGATCTTGAGCTATCGGTTCTTTTTCTTACCCAAGATGGGTGCTCTAGAAGCTCCAATGCTAGATAAAAATCCCAGCTAGGAAGGTATGTTCTTGCCAAAGACTTTCTCTTGATCAAACTATAGTCAGTCTCCTGTGAGCCCTCTTCTTGACTAAGCTTCAACTTTTCCCTATAAAAACTGCAAAGTCTAAGCACAAATGATTTCTTCTAGACCCCCACTCTCATTGTAAATACTAAGAGACTTGAACAAACACTAGCTTAAAGCCACACTCCTAGGATGTCCTCAGCCTCTCCTTAAAATGCTTGTATGAAAAAAGTTCAATGCTGCTAGGAGAATTTACTGTTTGGTCCAGCCTAAAACCTGATGATAAGCAGACAGATCCCTAAACCACATTTTTACCCCAGTTGCTTTAGTAACTTGAGAGTACCCTGAGGTCAAATTGCAGTTCTACCTCGTTTACCATTCTAATTCAATACCCCTGGAAAATTGTCAGGATTGTAGCATGTTCTCAATAAATATAGGTTGCAGTAATAACAAAAATGATTGCTCTCAGCCAGTCAGCAAAGATTCAGACTGAAATTTCTCTCGTAAGACAGTAATATCTTCATCTCCCAAAAGAGCTCAAGAACCCAACTAACATTGTGTTATTATTATATCATTTCCAGGAATATTCAGTTTCTTAATTATAATTTTTAAATGACAAGAAAAAAACTAGCAGTTAGTATTTACCTTAGATAGGTAACTTGCCTAGCTAATTAGTGACAAAGCCTAACTCTAATCCACAGTACTTTTTCTATTCTCATGCTCAGCCATTTGTTACCTCTAATTTGGTTGGGGCAGACCTACTTTCATAGAGGCCTTGCAGTCCCTCGTTATACTAATACTTTCTAATTCTTTTTCACCACAGATTTTCATAGAAGTATTTATTGCTCGAAGACTTCTGGAAGCAATCAGAAGGCATGAGGTGGTTACTGAGAAGCCAATGCTGTTCTCCTAATTTAATTAGGAACATTTCCAAATTCATTGCTCAATTTTAAGTGTCCATAAATTCCAGACTGCTCATATGCTCTATGGCATATTTTTGACTAAGCCAATTCATCACCTCCTACTTTTTTTTTTTTTTTTGCTTGCCCCCAAACAGATCCTTGGATTGCATGGACTTATTGTTCTTGAAACTGCGTACTGCAGAGGAAGTGGAAATCAGAAATCTCTGCTCTTTCAAATTGTATATTATCTGCTTCATACCACCCTACTCCCAGTCTATAAAGTGCCTAATGTCATACTTTAACTTGGTGGGAACTAAATCAATATGTTTGATTTTATACATCCAAGCAGCACCTATATATTTTGGGTACTTATATTTCTGCTCATTTTGCTTAAGGAGATAAATAGTAAGATAAATTATAATTGTAATTATAATTATAGAAGCATTCATGTAGTACTTTCCAAATTTCAAAGCATGTTTCTATACATAGTCTCATTTTTTTCCTCTTTATATAAACCTCACAACTACACAGACACTGAGGCTCAAGGAAGTTAAATGACTTGTGTAAAGCCTTAGGGGAAATGGGTAGTAAAATAAAGCCCATCTTAGGAAGTCAACTGATGTGCTCTTTGCACCCTGCTCCTTTCCTAGTTCTTCAGTAGGATGGATGTTTGTATTTGGATTTAAAAAAGGCTTTTTTTTTTTTTATTAATTTCAGGATATTATGGGGGTACAAACATTTTGGTTACATGTAATGCCTTTGCCTTGCCCAAGGCACTCAAAAGTATCCCTTATGAAAATAGAGTAAAAAATTCTCAAGAAAATACTAGGAAACTAAATTCCACAGCAAATCAAAAAGATAATTCACCATAATCAAGTGAGTTTCATCCCAGGGCTGCAACGATGGTTCAATGTATGCAAATCAATAAACATAATTCACCCCCTAAACAGAAGCAAATACAAAGACCACATGATCGTCTCAAAGGATACAGAGAAAACGTTCAATAAATTTTAGCACCCTTTCATGATAAAAGCCCTCAATAAATTAGGCAAAATTATAAAACACACCACAGCCAACATCATACTGAATGGGGAAAAGTTGAAAGCATTCCCCCTAAAAACTGAAATACGACCAAGGTGATCTAGAAGGCTATTGAACACAGCATTCTTAAAAGAGTAAATAGTAGCAAATTGGTTAAAAAATTCAGGCACAAAATGTAATATTAAGCAGCCAATGAAATTAAGAGAACATTCAATTCTTTACTACAAGATTTAGCATATATTTGCTTCTATTCCTACATATTCTTTTTCCAGTTACTATGGATGAACTATCTGATCTATCTTAGGCCTTCCCCTATCTCCTATTTAGTTGTTCAATTTCCTACCCACGTTTTGCCCAGTGACAGAGTGGCCAAACTAAGAGTCCAGCAATGGATGTTTAGGACTCCAAAGTTCATGATCATTTTTCTAAACGCAAATATTCAAAAACTTTCTTGTCTTCAATATTTCTTCAAGTTGAAATAGGTAAATATCAAAATTAGGTTGCTAAATCCATTAAAACTCAATGTCTTGTTCTTTTTACCAATGGCCTCACTATAGAAATTGTCTCTTCTCCCTTCCGGTTATCAATTTATATTATCAATATGCAAACATAAAGTTTAACACCTGTGATAGTCCCACATACTCGTTCAGCTAAAGCCAGATATCCATGACCCATTTTAAGAGTTGTCCACACTCCAATTCCTTTCCTTCCACCTTTATTTATTTATTTATTTATTTATTTATTTATTTATTTATTTATTTATTTATTTATTTTTATTTTAGCGTATTATGGGGGTACAAGTGTTAAGGTTACTTATATTGTCCATGCTCCCCTGCCCCCTAGAGTAAGAGTTTCACGCATGTCCACCCTCCAAACATTGCACATCTTACTTGTTGTGGTTGTATATACCCATCCCCTCCATCCCCCTTCCACCCTCCCAACACCCCATAAATGTTACTCCTATATGTCCACTTAGGTGTTGATCCGTTAATACCAATTTGCTGGTGAGTACATGTGGTGCTGGTTTTTCCATTCTTGAGATACTTCACTTAGTAGAATGGGTTCCAGCTGTATCCAGGAATATACAAGAGGTGCTATATCACCATTGTTTCCTAAAGCTGAGTAGTATTCCATGGTATAAATATACCACATTTTATTAACCCACTCATGAATTGATGGGCACTTGGGTTGTTTCCATAGCTTTGCAATTGTGAATTGTGCTGCTATAAACCTAGCCACCAGCTGAAGGCACCTTCCACCTCTCTTGAACTTACTTCAATTTAGATTTCATCATTGCAGCTCTTCTCATCTAACTCTTGCTGAAGTCAGCAATGACCTCCACATCACTAAAACTAATGGCCATTTCTCAGCTCTAATCTTACTTTAACTCATAGCATTGCTATATATTTGATCACTCTCTCCTTGAAATACCATATTCACTTGGTTTTGGAAATTAATACTCTACCTCTAAATAAAGGGGTATTTCATTAATCAAGATATTTTCTCTTATCTAACTCCAAATTCTAAACTAGTACCGTTCAATAAAAATATGTAGCCAGCAACAAATATGGGCTGCATGTATAATTTCACATTATTATAAAAATAAAAAGAATAGGTGATTTAAATTTTACTATACATTTAACACAATATATATTTTTAAAAACATTCAACAATCAATATAAACTTATTCATGAGACATTTTGCTTTCTTCTTTCATACCAAATCTTCAAAATTCACTTTGTTTATACTTGGGGTATATCTCAATTCTGACAAGTTACATTCCCAATGTTCAAAAGCCACATCATGCAACTATATTGGTCAATGCTGTACATGACCTTATTTATGGTTTTAAATACCACCTCTGCTGAAGACTCTAAAATTAATGTGTTTGGGAAGACTTATCTGAAATCCTGTTCCCTAGAAAACCTATTTCACATCTACACTTGAATGTGATAACCATATCAACCTCATGCACAAAATGATTTCCAGGCCCTAGTCCCACAATCTATTATTTGTCCTTTCCACCTCACATACACCTATATTCAGAGCTACATTTGAATTCTCTTTTAAACCCAGAATTAATTCAAGTGACAGTTAACCTTATGAGAAGAACTTTTAAAATGTGAATAGAACCTGAATATTTATTTCCACTGCTATATCCTTAGTCCAATCTGCTCATATATTTTACCTAGAATATTGCTATAGCCTCGTAATTGATCCTCGTAATTCTTTCTTTTTATTCCCTGAATGTATTCTCCAGTGTCTATTCTCAACAGACAAGATGCCTCTTTTGGAATTTCAAACACATTGCATCTTTCCTGTGATCAAAACCCTTCAGTGGTTTCTCTTGAATTTAAAGCTAAACTCCCTACTTTTCTATAAATTACCACCTAATCTTCACACTTCTATCTCTCCAATTTACTCTTGAATATTGTTTTTTTTTCAAGTCATATATTTTTATTATAAATATACATTATTATACAGTGAAACAGTCCAATAAAAAGTTATTCTTGATAAAATTTTAATAATTTTTCTCTTTTAATATCAAGTGGTTTAAATTGTTTATCTGGTAAAAGATTATTTCCTACTCACCAAGGAAAGTGGACAGACTGGAAAATCATCAGATAAACTCCATACAGCTTCAACTCCAGTGCTTTTTGAATAAATATTTTATTAATAATATTATATGTAATGTTCATAACTTTGAAGATTTATGAGCATTTGCTCATAGAATACTAATTAATTTAAATCCTCATTATTTTAAGTACTGTTCCAGTTTAGGCAGCTAGAATACTCAACATCATTCAAAGTCCTCCAACTTTATTTTTCTGTTGAGGACATTTTCCCAATTTACTTTCACTTTATCCAGAAAAACACACGCATAGTTTCTTAAGTATTATTTTTGGTTCTCAATTTTTATCTTTTTAGTTTTTTCCTTCCCTTGCACATCCATCAATGCCTACCTACAATGTGGTATCCTTTTATGTCTTTTCACTTTGAATTGCTTTTCCTTTGTGAGCCAATTGTAAATGTTATACTATTGAGAAAATTTTCTGTATACTTTTAGGTATCTATATGCATAATTTTCAATTAAATAATAAAATTGTTCTGATGAAAGCCATAAAGGGAAGTCCTTGGACTTTGGTTTCAAAAATCCAGAGTTTAAATTGCTCAGACCAAATATGCATTGTTTGACACAACATTAGCACACATAATTTAAGTTTTCCCAGCAGTTAATATATCAGGGAATTTTGCCTAAAATTGAGGAATTTTAGCTTTTCCTGAAGTAGCTGAAGATTTAAATCCCTGGAACACCATTCCGCGTGACAATACTGAAATGGAGCAGAGTAATGGATTCTCTCTTTACATAGGATTCCTCTTTCTAGTTTCCTATAGTTCTCGCTACTGACTATTATTTTCCTGATATTAGGAAAAAATAACAATAAGTAAGACATGTTATTTTTAATGAAACATGTACTATTGCATTTCTATAGTAAAGATTTTTTTCCTGTGTATTCAGAACCCCACAGAAAATAGAAAATAAAAGATAAACTCATTTAGTTGTGTAATTGAATGCCTGTCTTCACCTAATTTATTCACTTGCATTACCTGCTTGGCCACTGTATATATTTGTGTTTACAATGCTAGGTTATAGAACATGAGAAATGGAAGGAGATTTAATGTGTCTTGACTAGAGTCTCTTCTGTTCACCTTGTTTTAAAAACATTGGTAATATATATTTGCATTGCTATTTCCATAAATCATTAAATAAAAGAATAACTTCATTTGCCCTTTGAAATTTAATACTTGGATGCTTTTATGTTTGAATCTAATAGTGTGAGCAACATTTTGGAGAAGAATTTTTAGGGGAAATTAGATAAACACTCTTCAATATAGCTACCCAAGGTATTGGTTTTGAACTTAACATCTGTATGTTTCTAATTCCTTATGAAACATTGTCAAAAGCATAACATGAAGTGATAATTACATTGAATTGGATATCATATTTCTGTGAATGAAAAGAATATTTGGAATATATCTATAACAAATTGAAATA